ATATCAAAAAAGTACTCCAGAGTGTTGTTCAGCATGGGGGTGAGTAGAAAATGAAGGCTAATCATGTTTTGGGTGTACTATTCCTTTAACACCTTCCATCAGTCTAAAGGTCTTCTGATTTAATAGAGATGGAGCTTGTTTTTAATGAAGGACGTGGAGACGGTTGGTGTAGATGTTGAATAGACAAGCAGCATGGTGGGATGAAGGCTGGTGATGCACGCGGATGACTACTAAGAAGAACAAGATTACAGAAGAGTCTTGGGTTAATCATCTGAATCCAGCGAAATACGTTTAATTCAGAAAACTCAGATAAATTTCCAACCATCCAGATCTTTATCCAGACCATTTGATCACTATAGGAAAATATTGGAAGGTAATTGATGAGGTTTTCCATGAGGAAGACTTCAGAAAAGAAAAGCTGTAACAGAAGTTAAAGAACTCCAACAAAGTTATTTGCAGATTTGTCTGGTCGTGACTCCATCATTTCCTGCTTAACGATTGAATTACTCCTCGTTATTTCCTCAAACACTGACTGAGCCGCCGTTTCTTTTCTTCTCCTGAATGGTTTTATATTCTTTCCTGAACTTCCATTGGTGATTTATTCCTAAATAGAGACCCTTTCAGGTCTCTTTCATTCTGCTTGAAAAGGTCTGCAAGAGCTTTGGATCCTGCAGCCTCATTTGCATAAATGAGCTGTGCAGGTATTTGTTTTAAGAATTAATTACAATTGATTCAAGAATTCTTCCCACAGCATTTGGGAGTTTCTATGTCTTTTAATGACTATGATTTTTTTCTTTTGCAACACAGAAATCAAATTGGTGAGTGTCCTCTAAAAGAAGTGATTCAGTGTTTTCTGCAAAAGATTGTGGCAGTAATATTTACATAAGTCGTCCAACAGTGCTGCTCCCTGTAGATGATTTTTCTCTTTTCTATACAACAAAAAGACAATTTAAATGCCAGAACAAACTATATCCAACTCTTTAAAGGTGTTAAAGTTGGATATTGAATAAAAATGAATGTTTAAACTGGAGGAGAAGATGTCCTTCTTTAACCGTGGATGAAAATCTTGGTGAAAAAGAATTTGTGGATCTTTCCAGAATCGACTTCCACTTTTTCCTCTCTTTGAGTGACTCAGATCTGTAGATTACCACGGTTAGATCAGAGCCAACCCCCCTGAGATTTACTGGCACGTTGTGTGTTGTTAGAGGAGCTCAGCTGGTCTCAGGCCAGCATGCGCTGCTTTGAATCGCGCTCCCGCTCGACTTTAAATAACTTTCTTAGGTCAGCATAAAAACATGAAGCAAACAATTTGTATCTCCTGACGCTTGCAGGGAGAAAAATCCCATGACTTCTCAATAATTAGGAATAAACTAGTTGTGCAAACTGGGAGGACTAAGTCTGCAAATAATTAAGCATTGGGATCAACCAAAAAAGGTTATTTTTGATGGAAGACTGAGGACTTGATAAGTGATATTTAAAGCTCCCTAAAGATACTCAAACCACAAGTTCCAGTTTGGACAACCAGTGCTAAAATTTGTCAGCATTCCTAAGTGAGAAAATCTCTTTTTACTGTTAAAAAGAAGTTTTCTCACTTAGGAATGCTGATAAATTTTAGCACTGGTTGTCCAAAGTCCTCAGTCTTCCATCAAAAAAGGTTATTTTTGATGGAAGACTGAGGACTTTGGACAACCAGTGCTAAAATTTATCAGCATTCCTAAGTGAGAAAACTTCTTTTTAACAGTAAAAAGAGATTTTCTCACTTAGGAATGCTGACAAATTTTAGCACTGGTTGTCCAAACTGGAACTTGTGGTTTGAGTATCTTTAGGGAGCTTTAAATATCACTTATCAAGTCCTCAGTCTTCCATCAAAAATAACCTTTTTTGGTTGATCCCAATGCTTAATTATTTGCAGACTTAGTCCTCCCAGTTTGCACAACTAGTTTATTCCTAATTATTGAGAAGTCATGGGATTTTTCTCCCTGCAAGCGTCAGGAGATACAAATTGTTTGCTTCATGTTTTTATGCTGACCTAAGAAAGTTATTTAAAGTCGAGCGGGAGCGCGATTCAAAGCAGCGCATGCTGGCCTGAGACCAGCTGAGCTCCTCTAACAACACACAACGTGCCAGTAAATCTCAGGGGGGTTGGCTCTGATCTAACCGTGGTAATCTACAGATCTGAGTCACTCAAAGAGAGGAAAAAGTGGAAGTCGATTCTGGAAAGATCCACAAATTCTTTTTCACCAAGATTTTCATCCACGGTTAAAGAAGGACATCTTCTCCTCCAGTTTAAACATTCATTTTTATTCAATATCCAACTTTAACACCTTTAAAGAGTTGGATATAGTTTGTTCTGGCATTTAAATTGTCTTTTTGTTGTATAGAAAAGAGAAAAATCATCTACAGGGAGCAGCACTGTTGGACGACTTATGTAAATATTACTGCCACAATCTTTTGCAGAAAACACTGAATCACTTCTTTTAGAGGACACTCACCAATTTGATTTCTGTGTTGCAAAAGAAAAAAATCATAGTCATTAAAAGACATAGAAACTCCCAAATGCTGTGGGAAGAATTCTTGAATCAATTGTAATTAATTCTTAAAACAAATACCTGCACAGCTCATTTATGCAAATGAGGCTGCAGGATCCAAAGCTCTTGCAGACCTTTTCAAGCAGAATGAAAGAGACCTGAAAGGGTCTCTATTTAGGAATAAATCACCAATGGAAGTTCAGGAAAGAATATAAAACCATTCAGGAGAAGAAAAGAAACGGCGGCTCAGTCAGTGTTTGAGGAAATAACGAGGAGTAATTCAATCGTTAAGCAGGAAATGATGGAGTCACGACCAGACAAATCTGCAAATAACTTTGTTGGAGTTCTTTAACTTCTGTTACAGCTTTTCTTTTCTGAAGTCTTCCTCATGGAAAACCTCATCAATTACCTTCCAATATTTTCCTATAGTGATCAAATGGTCTGGATAAAGATCTGGATGGTTGGAAATTTATCTGAGTTTTCTGAATTAAACGTATTTCGCTGGATTCAGATGATTAACCCAAGACTCTTCTGTAATCTTGTTCTTCTTAGTAGTCATCCGCGTGCATCACCAGCCTTCATCCCACCATGCTGCTTGTCTATTCAACATCTACACCAACCGTCTCCACGTCCTTCATTAAAAACAAGCTCCATCTCTATTAAATCAGAAGACCTTTAGACTGATGGAAGGTGTTAAAGGAATAGTACACCCAAAACATGATTAGCCTTCATTTTCTACTCACCCCCATGCTGAACAACACTCTGGAGTACTTTTTTGATAT